GAGTTGTTGTTAGTTGCCGCTGAACCAATTACAAGTAGAGTGAACATTTATCGAGCAATGACTATGCTTTTGGCACTGAGCTAAACCCAGCTCCACACAACAGTCTGATGTGGTGGGCATCGTCGTTAACTTCACTGACAGATGAGGAAGCTGATGCTCAGGGTGGTTAAGGTCCTTGTTATGGCTACACAGGCAGTAAATGGCCAAACCAGTGTGGACCCAGGTCGGAAAGACTCCAAATCTCATGGTCAGTATACGGCTTTAATCTACAATGGAAGTCAGTTGCGGGGAGAGGAGGAGAAAGAAGAGGAGGAAGATGCTCACAGAGGGTGGGAAACGTGGCAGGGGGACTGCAGATTGGGTGGCCTGGCGTGGAAGGGCCTGTTTGTAAGGATTGTAAACCCCATCCGGGAGCTAAAATGTGCGCAGATGCTCTGTCCCCGCCATGGCAGCAGCGAAACCGGGCCAGCCAAATCCAAGAATGAGGCGGAAACATCAACCAAGACCAGCTACACTGCCACCTCGTGCCGTGCTGGCCTGGGAGTCAGGAGACAGGGGCTTCTCTCAGCTCTTTCCTTAACTGACCAGCTGTGACCTGGGGTAAGCCACTGTCACTCACAGCTTCCAGTGGTGAGGTCTCCTTTAGAACAAAGAGGTGCCAGGGGTGCACTTCCAACACGCTGGCATAGAGACTTAGTGGCATTTCTGCATAGGTGAAATGACTTCAGGCTGGAGACCCCTCCCCATAGAGTCTCAGAACTGGCACTGAGAGTCTGGCTGACTCCCCATATCACTGTTCCTAGGAACAAGGTGGCTGACTGAGCCTTCTGGCCCACATGGATTCAAATTCCCACTGCATGACTGCTAACCAAAAGATCAGCAGTTCGAATCCACCAGCCGCTCCTGGAAACTCTATGGGGCAGTTCTACTGTGTCTTATAGGATTGCTATAAGTCAGAATCAACTCGATGGCAACTGGTTTGGTTTTGGCTTGGATTCTTGGAGCATCAGTTTCCCTGTGTGGAAAATGGGGTAACACCTTATAGAGTGGGCACAGGAATTCAGTGGGCAGGAGTGTGTGAAGTGCTGGGCACCATGCCTGGCACAAACCAACATCTGTGGAGCGCTTCCCATCCTAGCTGTCTTCATGGTTATCTCAGGAGAGGGCTGACTCAAGACCCGCTGTGGAGACTGTCTGGTGTCAGTTGGTGGGGGGGCCTGGGCTGATTGGGTGGGGTGGTAAATGCCCTTTCGTGAGGATTTCAGCACTGAGTCACCACGCAGCTTAACTGGTGCAAGAGCGGAATTGTTCCTTCCGGTGCCCGCTTGCTAGCACGCAGGCTTCGAACTGGTTTTCATTTAGACACCCCTAGTTTCAAATTGCTCAGAAAATTCCCGAAAAATTGTCCTTTTTTGGCTGAAATGCCTCCTGCCTTGGGTGTGTGCCCAAGCAGCGTCGCCTGCAGAGGAGAGATTGGCTTTGCGATGGCTGGCCTTCCAGAGGCCTCTGTCCCCGCTTTCCGGGATATTGATCACTACCCAGCTTTCAGCACGCAGGCCCTTGTTGTTTCGGTTTAAAGTTTCTTCTCCCTCATGGGGTGCAGGGGTGGGCGGAGAGACATTCCTAGGCACCAGAGACATTCTCATCCATCTTCGCCTTTTCTTGGAGGAAAAGGGTGAGGAGTGAAGAGTGAAGCTGGTCCAGACAACAAGACCACCTCGCATGGAGCCACACCATGTCCCCTCCCCACTGCCCTCCCTTCCCTGGCATTTGTTTCAAGTGTTTGCAAGTATTTCCCAAAAGGCAAAAATACTGAACATAAACTCCTAGTCATCCCTTTAAACTAGGGTTTCTCAACCTCGGCTCTATTAACATTTTGAACCTGATAATTCATAGATGCAGGAGGGCTGTCCTGTGCATTGTAGGATGTTTAGCAGCATCCCTGGCCTCTACGCGCTAGATGCCAGGAGTACCGCCACCATGCCAGGTAATAACAATCAAAAATGTCTCCAGACATGGCCAAACGTCCCCTAGGGGCAAAACTGCCCTTCATTGAGAAACACTGGTCTAATCCCAGCTTCAAGGTCATCTTTTCCAGGGAACCTTCCTGATTCCTGCCTGACCCCCTCCCCCTCAACACACACGCAATCATTTTCAGTCTCATGGAACAACGTAGCCTTAAAGCAAACCAGTTGGTTGCTCAAGGATCAGTAAACACAACTAACCTGGGAGATGCTTAAAAGCAGGGTTTGAGTGTTACCTATCGCTGGGCCTGGAATGTTCTAGATGCTCAGTAATAGCTGAACCAATGCCCAGCACTGTGTGAAGACTATATTGGGTGTATACAGGGAACGTGTAAGTGGGGAAATAAAAATACATGGAATGGACAAAAGTTTGACAATATGCTCAGTATGCCCTGTTGGCCAAACTGTGGGCAAAACAGGCCTTCCCATCCACTGCTGGTGAGGATGCAACATGGGACAAGCCCATGGGGGAATTTGGCCACTCATTTCTCGGAATCTGTCCCAAAGATGCAATGGCAAAAATAGAAAATCTTGTCCCTGCACGAGGTCATTCACTGTGGCATTCTTTTAATTGCAAAAGATTGGAAAAGTGCCAAATGCCCATCAGTAGGGCTCTGGATGAATAAACCACGGGACAATAACACAGCAGAGTACTACGCAGCTGTGAAAAGGAATGTGAATGATTTCTATGCACTATTGTGGAGGGATTCCTGGGATATATTGTTAAATGGGGAAAAATGAGGTGCAGAATACTTTTGACAACACTTTTTGACGGAGGTAGGGGAGAAAGTATTATACATATTTCATTATATTTGTAAAAAGAAATACTGGAAGGATAAAGCAAAAATTGATTTTAAAAATGGGGTCCTACAGGTGGAGGAAGGGGACAAGGGGAAAGTATATTATGGGAAAACAATCCAAATACCTATCAGTTGGATAGACTGAATTTTTTTTTAATTTGTCCATCTAGACAGCCAATAAAAAGGGTGAAGTTTCTCTGTACTGATACAGAAAGGTGTCCAGAATATTATTAAGTAAAAATACGCAGGTTGAAGCACCGGTGTATATAGCATACTTCTAAGTTTTAAATGTATGTTTGTAATCTTGTAAAGGGTGTAGAGGGTCACACCAAAAGCAATGAACAGTCTGTCCCCTCTGGGACTAGGGGTGGGAGGCACTTTGCTTACACTCTTCTGTGTTGTTTGAATCTGTTAGTGTGATAAGCAGTGATACTACTTTGTTATTCTTTAAAGAAAAAAATCAGAGACACAAGGAAGTACGGAATTGGAGGGTGTTGGTTCTAAGTGCCTCGGAGAGAAGGGGGTTCCATGTGGACTCAGGTAGTCAGGTAGGGCTCCCTGGAGGAGTGGGCAATGAACTGGGCCCTGGGGAATAAAGGGTCAGTGGTTCTGCATAAGATTTAAATGTGAGAAACAGCAGCTGAGCACCCCTTACCTGGATCCCTGAGGGACGGGACAGGGCATGGAAGGTAACAGTTTCCGACAAGTCACCGACTCCCATGCTTTCTCCAGCATCACACTGGGTCACTGTTACCCGAACTGCCAAATCTGCACCACGGGCGGCACGGACCCTTGATCAGCTCCAGTGGTTCACCCCCTGATAGTTCCCACCTCACCCTCTTTGGCTTTACTTACACCCTTCCCCCTACCTGGATGCCTTCCCTCCCTCCCTCTGGACTGATTGGAGAACTCTTGTACATCCTTCAAAACCCAGCTCAAGCTCTACCTCTCCTGAGGAGCCTCCTCTGACCATTTCTCCGTTGCTCACAAGAGCTGAGCCCCTTATGCGTTCTGGCCCATGCCCTGACATAGCCCTTATACCATGGCACTGTGATGTCTTATTCTGGGGCCAGCTACCTGCTAGGTGAGAACGCTATCTGATCATCCTTCCCCAGCACACAGCACAGCCCTGGCATGTAGTAGGTGTTCAGGATGCTGAAAGAAGCCCTTTTGCAGGGTAAGGGCCCTCTGGAAGGCTGCTGTCAGTTTGGTTTGGTGAATAGAATCAGGACTCTGATGCCAGGCTGGTGGGTTCAAATCCCACCTCCACCAGTTGCATACTAGGTGCTTGAGCTTGGACCAGAGACCTTGGCCTCTCTCAGCCCGCCTGTGTCCCCTGTAAATTGGGAGTGGTGAGGATAACAGCACCTCTCTTCAGGGTTCCTGTGAGCATCCAATGGTCTGTGGACGTGTTAAGGAGCCTGTGCACAGTGGGCCCTCAGAACCGTGGTTCTTACTGCTCTTAATTATATATTATTATAATTTAACAACATTGCCCTGGGCCAGGTGCTGGGGACACTCAGGTGTCTACTGGGCCCTCCCTGGGCACTTGTCCCTCATGGCAGCAGATGTCTGTCCCCTGGGCTCTTGCCTGGACACTGTCTTACTTTGGTCAGACTGTGGGCTCCCTGGAGCAGAGGTCTGACTGCTTTGGTTCACCGTTGTATCCCCGAAGGAGCCCTGCTGGCGCAGTGGTTAAAGCACACAGCTCCTAACCAAAAAGTTGGCAGTTCAAACTCACCAGCCGCTCATTGTGAGAAAGATGTGGCAATCTGCTTCCGTGAAGACTTACAGCCTTGAAACTCTATGAGGCAGTTCTACTCTCTCCTATACAGTTGCTGCAAGTTGAAATAGATTCAATGGCAGTGGGTGGGTGTATCCCCCGGGCCTAGCACTGTGCCTACCACATAGTAGGTGCTCAGTAAATATGTGTTGAAGAATGAGTGAGTGAATGAATGAATGAACGAAGGAATGAATGAGGGAGTGAATTAAAGGCACATGATCCTGCCTTTGGGCCTGGACCATCTTCAGAGGGAGATACAGGTAAATTGCTGAGCTGGTGGCCAAATCCTGACCGCGTCGTCAATTCAGGACGCACGGGCGGCCTGGCCGCTGGGGGTGCCGCAGGCACTAAGTCCTGCCTACCGCCCGGCTAACCTTCCCCGCCCCTCCGCAGGTGAGTGCCCCAGCCCGGGGCGCGGCGGCGCCGCCAAGCGGAAGAAGAAGCAGCGGCGAAATCGCACCACGTTCAACAGCAGCCAGCTACAGGCGCTGGAGCGCGTGTTCGAGCGCACGCACTACCCCGACGCCTTCGTGCGCGAGGAGCTTGCCCGGCGAGTCAACCTCAGTGAGGCGCGCGTCCAGGTGAGCGCGGCCTGGGGGCCGAACAGTGGGCGATGCCTATCCGTGGGCCACCCGAGGTAGTTACGGAGTTGCTGTGATGGACTGTTTAAGAGCTTCTGAGGCCAGGACGGGCTGAGTTCAATTCCTGGCCCTGCCGCTGGCGGTGTGATCTTGAGCAAGTTACTTAACCTCTCTGTGCCTTAGCCCGCCCTACCCCGTAAATTAAGGATCATGTGGGTCTATTTATAGGACTCTTATGAGAATTAAAGGAGTTAATATTTTTGTAAAGTGCTTAGAACAGTGTCTGGCACAAAGACTTATGATAAAGATTGTTTTAAAGTTTTGAGTGCTTACTCTGTGCCAGCCCTAAGCAAGTACTCAGCACCCAGACTCTCTGTACAGCCTCATAAGGGCAGTGTTCATTCATTCATTCGTTCATTCTTCAGCCCATATTTACCCAGCAGCCAGTCCCATGTACCATCTCCATTTTACAGATGAGGAAACTGAGGTTCAGAGACCCAGAGATGGTGGCAGAGCAGGCACACACCAAGGTCCAAAAGGACTCTAGAGCCCTGAGACCCCTGGGTGGTGTGGTCCTCTCCTCAGCCCACTTCGTCCTGCTCACCACATCCTCCTGTCCCAGGTCTGGTTCCAGAACCGTCGTGCCAAATTCCGCCGGAACGAGCGAGCCATGCTGGCCAACCGCTCTGCCTCGCTCCTCAAGTCCTACAGCCAGGAGGCTGCCATTGAACAGCCTGTGGCTCCCCGGCCCACTGCCCTGAGTCCAGATTATCTCTCCTGGACAGCCTCGTCTCCCTATAGGTGAGAGCAGGAACCCCGTCAGGTTGGGAGGGGGCAGCCAGGGAACCCCAATGGGGCATTTGGGATCCAGATCCCTTTAAGGATCTAAGAGCCGTGTCCAGGTGCCCCTTGGACCTGGGGTCCACTGGGTGGTGTGCGTGCAAGTGCGTAAGCATGTGCCTGTGTGTGTGTTTTGTGTGAGTGTGTTTTGTATGTGTGAGTGTGTGTGTTGTATGTGTGTGTGTGTTTTGTGTGTGTGTATTTTGTATGTGTGTGTGTTTTGTATGTGTGTGTTTTGCTTGTGTGTTTTGTGTGTGTGTGTTTTGTGTTGTGTGTTTTGTATGTGTGTTTTGTGTGTGTTTTGTGTGTGTGTTTTGTGAGTGTGTGTGTGTTGTATGTGTGTGTTTTATGTGTGTGTGTTTTGTGTGTGTTGTGTGTGTGTGTTTTGTGTGAGTGTGTTTTGTATGTGAGTGTGTGTGTTGTGTGTGTGTGTTGTGTGTGTGTTGTGTGTGTGTTGTGTGTGTGTGTTTTGTATGTGAGTGTGTGGTGTGTGTTTTTTGTGTGTGTTTTGTGTGTGTGTGTATTTTGTGTGTGTGTCTATTGTATGTGTGTGTGTGTTGTGTGTGTGAGTGTGTGTTTTGTGTGTGTGTGTGTTGTCTGTGAGTGTTTTGTATGTGTGTGTGTTGTATGTGTGTGTGTTTTGTATGTGTGTGTTGTGTGTGTGTTTTGTGTGAGTGTTGTGTGTGTGTGTTGTATGTGTGAGTGTGTGTGTTTTGTGTGAGTGTGTGTGTTGTGTGTGTGTGTGTTGTGTGTGTGAGTGTGTGTACACACAAGTGTGTGCATGCTCCTGCAAGTGTGCCTGTGAGTGTTGGGAGAGTGTGAATGTGTTTACAGGAGCAGATTATCCAATAAGCAAGGTAAGCATGGACTTTTTCACATTGTTTCACCACATCAAAGATTGTGCTTCTAGGTATGGCTAGTGTCTGTCTCTCTCCCAACCCCTACAGCAGCAAAGCCTCTCTGTTCAAATTTGCAATCCCTGACAGGGGCTATAGGGTCTCTGTGAGTCAGAATCGACTTGATGGCAGTGGGTTTTGGACAAGGGCGGATGGCTCAGTAAGCCGGGTAAGCACGGGCTTACTTACGCTTACTTACTAATCTGTAGTGAACAGTTTCACATGGGTTTCACTTTGATGTGGCGTGGTGAAACCCATGTGAAATTGTTCACTACAGGTTAGTAAGTAGAACCAAGTCAGCCCGTGCGTAGCTGGCTTATTGGATAACCCGCCCCTGCGTGTGCATGTAAGTGTGCATGTGAGTGTGCGTGCATGTGTGAGCATGTGCAAAAATGTGTGGAGGGGAGAGAAGACGACGAGACCTGTCCTCTCTGGTGGAGGGGAAGTGAAGCGCAGATGTCACCCTGGGGAAGTTGAAAACCTTCAGGACGATTTCTAGGCTGGCCCAGGAGACTTCCAGGCGAGAAACTGTGACTGGAAAGTCTGAGGGAATAGCCTCTCCTTCCTGTCAGCCTGGCTAGGGTGTGGCAGGGCAGGAAGGAAGAGGGAGAAGGTATTCAGGGAGTCAGGTCACCACCACCATACCCCACAATGCCAGGGGGCGCCACTCACCCTTAGTCTTTGTGAATGGCACCACTAGAGCTGTGGTCTTGTGGTAGGCGGGGAACCACTGGGCCATCTCATGGATTCTGAGCCCTAGGCGATGCCCGCATTAGCCTCACAGCTCTCCTGACTTCCTTGCCTGCTCTGTCCTTATCTGGGGGTGGGAGAACGACCAAGAGACATCATGAAATGCAGGTGTGTGTTCAGGCCACACCATCCCACCGTGTGCCAGGCCCAGTGCAGGTGCAGGGTGAGCAGGGCCCAGTCCCCTCTCTCTGGAAGCTCATGGTCCAGTGAGGAATGACACCAAATAAACAGAGGAGGCTCTGTTGTCCCAGAACCTACCCTGGGTACTTCTGACTCCTGCCCAAACCCTGCAGCCCCAGCCCCCCACTCCCCCAGGTAAAGGCTTCCCAGGAGAGCAAACTGAGGAGGGGAGGCAGGAGGACCAGAGGTTAGGGCCAGCTCTGGGCAGCATGTCAACCACACCAACATATCTTTGTGTCCCCTGTCACCCTCAGCACGGTGCCACCCTATAGCCCTGGAGGCTCCGGCCCCACGACCCCAGGGGTCAACATGGCCAACAGCATCGCCAGCCTCCGTCTCAAGGCCAAGGAGTTCAGCCTGCACCACAGCCAGGTGCCCACGGTGAACTGACGTCCTGCCTGCCGGGACCCAGCCAACTCTTTTGCCCAACAAAAGAGAAGGCAGACACACAGGAACGTGACCTTCTCCTGTCCCCTGTCCCCGGGACGGGCTGGTTGGGCTGTCCCGGCCCCTCTCTCCAGCCTGGACTCCTGACCCCGAGAGGCTGCTGAGGCGCCTGGAGCCCGGCTCAGCTCCTTCGTCCACGACCGCCTGCCACTTCGGCCCATGACCATTGGAGGGGTTGGGCCGCAAGGCAGAGCAGGAGCTTGCCAAGGACCTCATTTACTTTGTGTATTAAAACCAAAAAGCTTTTGTCTTTAAGAAATAAAACGATTTTTTAAATTCTAAAAGGTTTTGGGAGGGCAGGTAAGAGCCACGAGGGGACAGGTTTGCACACCAGACCACCGCTGAGATGGAGCCTGGGGGGAGAGGGGGCTGGATGGTCTTCTCTGGCCCACAGTGGGGCTGCGCTGGGCCTGGCTCAGACCTCCACCTGCCATTCTTCTGAATGAGAACTCTGTAGAGCCCCAGGCTCAGGAGAATCAGGTAGGAGGAGAGCGACCTGCCTTGGTTCCCCAGAGGACTCTGGCCCTGCCCTGCTTCTGCCTTGCTGGATGTCTTGGGAAAGGATCCCTCCTCTCTCTGGGCAGGGGGTGTCGTCTCTGCTCCATGAGGAGGCAGGATTGGTGGCCAGGGATTCCCAAATTGTGTGTGGGGCAGATGCAGGAATGAAATCCCTTCCTTCTGGGCACACAGAAGGTGTGGGACCCCTCTGAGCATTTGACCATGGAGGGGCCTGGGCAAATGGCCCAGAAAATGGAGGTATGGAGTGGAGGGCCCAGCTGGGCTTACAGGAAAGAGGAGTGATCCCTGATAGTTGAGGCCTCCAAGAAGGCATTCTCCCAAGTCCCCCAACCCACCCATTTGTACCCAGTCACTGAGAGTGACAGAGGACATATGGGCTGCAAGAGGGTGGTGCCACCAGCCAATGACACCAATGATATCACTACAAGTGGTCTGCAGAAAGCTGGGTGGGGCGAGACAGAGAGTGGTCTGAAGCTAGCCCCCTCCACCTGACCCCATGCCACCCCTTCTGATGGGCACACCCACCAGGAAAGTTAGCAGCAATCCCCCAACCCAGAGGTCACAAAGATGATCAGCCCCCTCAGAGTGGCAGTTTAAACCTGGGCCCTGGCAGTGAGGGGAAGTGGGGCAGGTGGCATAACAGTCATACCTCGATGGAGTCAATTGGATGGGCCCATTTTCCCATATTCTGCCCTGCCCATAGCGCCTCAAAAACCCCAGAAATGCCAGGGTTTCCATCCACAGCTTCTAGGTGGCCTCAAACAGGTCAGAACCATGAGAATTCTTACACGAGAGATAGTCCCAGTTTTTGTTTTAGAAGCTGTATTAGTTTCCTATGGCTACCATAACAAAACACACAAACTGGGTGCCTTAAAACAACAGAAATTTACTGTCACAGTTCTGGAGGCTAGCGGTCTGAATGAAGGGTGTCAGCAGAGCCATGGCCTGTGCAAGGCTCTAGGGGAAGGTCCTTTCTTGTCTCTCCCAGCTTCTGGTAGCCCCAAGTATTCCTTGGTTTGTGGCATCACAACTCCAATTTCTACCTCCATCTTCACATGGCTGTCTTCCCTGTGTGTCTCTGTTTATCCTTTCCTCTTTTTATAAGGACACTGGTTATATTGGATTAGGGCCCACTCTACTCCAATGTGAACTTATGTTACCTAATAACATCTTTAAGGACCGTATTTCCAAACAAGGTCATGTTCACAAGTACCGAGGGTTAGGACTTCAGCATATCTTTCGGGGGACACAATTCAATCCATAACAGAAGGATAGTAACAATACCTATGCATGAAGGGAGCATCTCTCTCCATTCCCCCAGTATATCCCAAAATATTCTTCCAGGGTACTCCACCTGAAATCCCACCATTAAAGCAACTTTCTTGTGGGTTGAGCGTTGCCCTCTTCAGAAGTATACACATGCCTGGGAAGGGGTGACCAATGAGTTGCGTGTGACTTCCTGGGGTTCCTCCTCGGGAGGGTTCCTCCTGGCATCAGGGACTCTGGTCAGCAGGGGAGCATGGAGCACCGATGGTAGGACGAGGCACAGACTCAGACTGCAGGCGGGAGGGGAGGAAAGTCTGCCGCTGTCTTGAGCTCCCTCGGGCCGACCTGACAATGAGAACCAGGCCAGAGCAAGGCAGAGCCCTTCGGTCTGAACTGGGTGGGCAGCCAGAGTTGTTTGGCCTCTGCCTTGGGTAAGTGCTTCTGGGCCTCCGTTTGCCACTCATTCATTGAACAAAAATTATGAAACACTTGCCATGGGCCTGGGCCCTTGGGGAGAGAGCAGAGAACAGACACAGGGTCCCTAGTGACCATCTTACAGGTAAGCAAAACACTAAATGAGTGATTATGATACCACATGACTAAGGCCACAAGGGGTCGTATAGGGCCTAGAGGAGTATGTCGAGGGGTCTCAAATCTAGTCTACGGCATCTGGGTAGGCTTCCTGGAGGAGGTATCCCTCAAAAAATGGTGAGTTAGCCAGACAAGGGGCAGGGGAGGAAGAACAGTGTTTCCAGCTAAGGGAATAGCATATGTGAAGGCCCTGGGGCAAGACAGAAACTGTCTTTGGGGCAGTGGGAGCAGCTCCCGGGCTGAATCTCCTGGTGTAAGACAAAGGTGGAGAGAAGCAGGGCCTGGCTCAAGCAGGGCTGGTTGGCCAGGTCTAGAAGTTTGGACGTCATCCCGAGGGCTGTGGGGATTCACATGCTTGGTGGAGCCACATGACTCCAGGCCCCTGTGTGGAGGAGGGACCGTGGGGCTAAGAGAGGAAGCAGAGAGGCACATGGAGGCCAAGCCAAGGCAGATGGCCAGGTGGGAGGGGGCAACAGCTAGACCAGATGGGACAGAAGTGAGTGGACCTGAGGAATGTTAGGGAGGCATTAAGATTTGGTGACTGACTAGATGATGGGCTGGGGGAAAATGGGGAGAGGACGCAGGGCCAGGTTTTGGTTTAGGCATGAAGGCGTGCCCAGGAGAAAGAGCCTCCTGGATGCAGGATCTGCCCAGTGGGAGTCTCTGGAAGATGGTGGCCTGTCCCTCTACCAGGCAAGCACTGGGGCCTTCTTGGCTTAAGTAGCGTCCTCCCTGGCATGGAGCTTGCCCCCTCCACCCCCAGGGGCTTTGCACCAGCAAAGGACCAGCCCATGGGGGCCCAGAGCAGTGTCCACATGGGCGGCTGAGAAGGTTGATCTCCTTCCTCTCCAGAAGCGCTGAACTTGGAGCGAGCGAGTAGACCAGGCCTGCCTGGGTGCCCGCCAGCCCTCCAGAGCTCGGGTGAAGGTACAGGCCACACACTTTTTACTTTTCAAAGAGAGAATGCATGAATAATTGCCCATTTGGGGCTGCCTGCCATGGAGTTGGGGTCACATTGGGGAGGGGCCTGGAAAGTGGTTCCTCAGAATGCCAGGCTCAGAAAAAGCCGGGGTCGCATTCCCATGGAGGCGCTGGCCCTGCCGTCGGACCACAAGGATGTCAATGTCACGTCCTCTGAGCACTCTAGAGAAAACAAGCTGGCTTAATGGTTTACACATGCTGCTCCGGGAAGCTGAAAGGGAGGGGGCACGCTGGCCCTCCCTGTAAAAGAAAAAATATCCAAACGCTGCTGTCGCGATTGCAGCGCTAATTGCAGGGCTGTGTGGGCAGCTTACTGGGCAGCCATCCCAGAATATAACTTTTCCACAGCACAAGGTACCCCAGGTCCCGACTCAGCCTTGCGGCGGGAGGCTTGGAATCTTCCTCTCTGCCTCCCTTTGCCCATTTGGCCAGTTGGGCTTGGGAAAGAGTATTGCATGTGTCTGCTTTTATTTGAAATGAAGAAATTTGAGCTGAGAGACAAAGAAAGAGAAAGGTAGATTGGCTCTTGCAAAAATAAAAAAAAAACTGAGAAGTTCAGAGTTCCTGGCTCTGTGGCCTTGGGCAAGGCAGTTCTCTGGACTCCAGTTTCCTCCTCTGTAAAATGGAGGGTAATAATAGAGCCCACCTCACAGGGTTGGTGGCACAGAGTAAACCCTCCATAAATAGAAGCTTTAGTGTTTATTGTGGAGGAATACAGAGTGAGAGGTGGAGTTTGAGGAAACCAAAATACTCTCCGTCCTGGGGGTCCCTGGGTGGTGCAAATGGTTAATGTGCTCGGCTGCCAACAACGGTCAGAGGTTTGGGTCCACCCAGAAGCCCCTCGGGAAGAAAGGCCTGGCGTGGACTTAATGGCAACTGTGTTTTGTTTTGTTTTTGGTGGGGGTGAAACGACATTTTCCCTGCCCAGGAGAACCTGGCACTGGTGGTTCAGGTACTCTTCCCCCACGCACCCCCCAAGTGCCTAACTCCGTGGGAAGGCCAATTGGGGCCAAACTCAAAATGGTGACCCTGGCTCCCACACTGCTGCTGCTTGCCCCTGGAGGGCGCTGTGGAGTCGGTTTCAGGCACAGGACTGGATTCGCAGAACCACCAACCAGCTCATCACCAGGGCTGGCAATGGGCTCCCAATAGTCTCCGCTTAAAAATGAAGAAACAAGCAAACCGCAAACCACCAGCAGGGGTCACAACCTAAAAATCAGCACAAGTGTTCCAGCGAGTAATTCTGACAAAATGTACCAAGAGCCATGAAAATGTTTGTTTGCTTTTCCTACTTTGAAAAATAATCCAAAATGGGGAGAAAAGCAAGGTGCACAAAGATGTTTAGCACATATTTTATACGTGCAATGTAAAAAACCTGGGAAGACACACACCAAAATGTAAAAAACTTACATTTTATGGTGGCTCACAACCCACTAGTTTCTATGTTTTTTGTAATGTGGCTAATAACTATAGAAAAACAAAACAATATTTTAAAAATCCAAGCAGGACAAGGTAATAGTCTTAAATACATAAGGAGCTCTTTGAAGGCAAAAAGTACACTTTCTTCCCTGTCTTTTATGTCCCCTTTGGAAACTCTGGTGGCACAGTGGTTAAGAGCTTGGCTGCTAACCAGAAGGTCAGCAGTTCAAATGTCCCATCCACTCCTTGGAAACCCGATGGGGCAGTTCTACACTGTCCTATAGGGTCGCTATAAGTCAGAATTGACGGCAACAGGTTTTTGGTGCCTAGGACAGAACTAAACATGTACTTCTGATGCCTATTGATCAGTGGCCTACCTCCGTATGCCTGCCAAACCCTTCTCCAAAGCTCTGTACCCTGCTACCTATTATTCCACGGTTAGCTTTTCAGGTCTTGAAGCTTTGTGGTCATTAATAGTTACCTTTTATAGTAAATTGTAA